CCCCTTCCGACCAGCCCCCACCACCACCACCAGCGCCTTGAGACCACCAGAATCCCTCCTCACCGCCTGAGTGGAAGACGACCCCCCAGGCCGTCAGGCGTCAGGTGCAGCAACGAACCCTGTTAGTTAGCATACGGAGGTTGGCGGAGGGCTGAGGCTGACCCAGAGGGCGCCGCCGCCGCTGTCGAGGGCCCCATGTCCCAGCCGGGCGCGTCCGCCACTGCCGCCTGCTGCTGTGGCTGCTGTGGCTGCGGCATAGGACCCTGAGAGCCTGCTTGTTGCGAAAGCGGCGAAGGGCTCCAACCGCCCGGGTAATCGTTCCACGTCGCTGTCTGCTGCTGCTGCTGCTGCTGCTGGGGATCGTAGCCCTGGGGCGATTCGCGGGGAGCAGCCGCCGCCGGAGCAGCCGGCCACTCCTCCACACGCAACGGGCCCCCCCCATTGCCGCTGCCGCTGCCCCCAGCGCCGGCCAATGTCCCCGGCCATGCCCCGTACTGCTGCTGCTGCTGCTGCTGGGGTATTTGAGGGGTCGGCTGTGGTAGTGGCTGTTGCATACCCGCCGCCGGCGATGCCCCTGTAGCAGGAGCATCAGCAGCAGCAGCGGCCATCGGGACCGGGTTGGGGGCCCCGCCGGGAGCTATTGGCGCGGTGGCCCTAGGACCTCCGGGACCTGCCCCCGGCCAGGGGGGTCGCTGAACACCCGGCGGCTGCTGTTGTGGCTGTGGTTCTTGTGGCTGCTGGCCCCATGTCTGGTTCTGTCCCGACGGCTGCTGTGGTTGCTGCTGCTGCTGCTGCTGCTGCTGTGGCTGCGGAGACCATTGCTGTTGTTGTTGTTGTTGTTGTTGCGGTGGTAATGGTGATGACGGGTAGCGGCCTTGGGCGCCGGGCGCGCTTCGTAGCGGTGGCTTGGTCGTGGTGGCGGCGGCGGCGACTGGCGGGGAGGAAGGCCCCGCGGCGGCAACAGGAGCTGGTGCTGCAGTGCCGCGGAAGCGAGGATCGACATTGCCACTGGCGTACCCTCCACTGTACGATGTCGTGGCTGCTCCACCGTACGCATGCTGCTGCTGCTCTTGCAGCGGCTGTTGTACCTGCTGCTGAGGAGGCGGAGGCATAGATGCGGTGGCGCCGTACATTGCTGCAGCAGCCCCAGGGCGTGCTTGCACCGGGTAGGACGAGGAGTTAGCGCTGCTACTGCTGCTCGTTGCCGGCGGCAGTGCGTAGTAGTTTCCGGATCCCGGCCCTCGCGCCTCCGGCAGTAGCGCCTGCTGCTGGGGCCGCCCCGGCGGCAACACATTAGAGCTGCGCCGCGCACCACCGCCACTGCCACCATACCCAGAGAGCAACTGCTGCTGACCCCCCGATTGCAGCATCATGTATTCCTCATAGCTACAGCCCGTCTGCGCTTCCCACATCCGTACATCGCTCTGCCACTGCTCGTACGAGTAACCCTGCGGCAGGAAACCAGCAGCCTCGCTGCCACGAGAGCCATCCGCGAGCAAGCCGGCGAGTTGTTGGGCGCCACCGACCCGGCGAAGTAGGCTGCTGAGCAGGCCCTGTTTCTCCTGGTATTGCACGTTGTCGGCGGCCAGGGAGATGATACCGTAGGCGCAATGCCGAATGGCATCTGCGGATACAGCGAAGCGGTCGAAAAAGTCGGCATGCAGGAAGCGCAGACCAAAGTCATCGAATTCAAACTTGCTGATGGTACCGGTGTCGCGACTGAAGGTCAAGTCTCGGACCTGGATGAGTGGCATAGGAAGGTAGTTGCGAGGGTGTTTGAAAAGGTTTGGGAGAGTTTAGGGTTTTTTAGGGTGCGGGGTTGGCAAGTGCCTTGAACTGATAACCAAGGATGTGGGGATGGGCTGACTAGGGTGAAAGGAACAAGAGAGACAAGGGTAAGGCCGAAAAGGAGGGGTTTGAGCGCGGTTGGGCAGGGCCAGGCTGCGTACCTTGCCCAGGGCCCGGTTGCTCGGCGTGCGGACTTCCCAGCCCAGCAGCTTGGTGAAGCCGAACCGGCTGTCCAGCGGCTGTCTCAGCACTCCGTCTTCCTGGACCAGAACGACGTCGCCAACCTGCCTAATCGTCAACAGTGGCACGACGCCAAAAGTGCCGTTGCTCTCCAGGTCAAAACAGGTCACTTCAAGACGAGATGTGTCCACCCAGGCCTCGCCCAGCTTGCCCAGTTTCCGGCCAGAGGAGCTTGAAATGACATCCTTATCCATGACGTCCGAGAGTTTTATGTAAGGAGACTGCATAGGTTCGATAGGATCGTAGAAGGGTCTCCGAGCCAACGACATCGGTTGCGACTGGTTCGGCGGCTGACCGCGGCCAAATGACTGGGCATTGCATTTTGTAACATTTCTGGCTCCATGTGCTTGCCGGTAGCCTAAAAACCAAGTATGGGCTTGCACCTGGCTGGTCCGCCGCAGAGCAGGTGTTGTTGGCGAAGGCCCTTCCGAGCGCAGAGCGCGCTGGGCGTTTGCAGAATTCAACATTGTACAACAGCAAACTACGCTCAAGAGTAAAGCTCAAGACCAACCAGGCACGAAGCGCACGCAAGGCCCTCTGCGACAGCAACTTTCGAGTATGACAAAAGCGAATCAACAACCTTTCCCCAATCCATCATGGTACATGCCAATTACTTGAGATTATATTAAAAGACAGTACAATGCTTAAATCCAACGGTGCTGTTGTCAGACAAGTTCCTAGGGCAGCATGCAGAGCACTCTTACAGCAGCCCCATTTTTCACGATATGGTTTTGATGGACTTGCCGATCAATTGTATGCAAGGCAATTGACTGGTTCCCAAGCAAGCAGCTCTCGCTCGGAAGGCGCCGTCCCAACTCATGTCGCGGTGTGCCATTTCGCCGTGTTTCCTGCGCAAGCGGGAGGTGCCACAACCTGCACACCACCCCCAGCAACGGTCCCTCTTCCCTTGATGGCACAGTGCATTATGGACGGCAATTACCGCTGGGGCTGCCGACGTGGTGGGGACTGGAGACGGGGACATGAGGAGGGCGTCAAAGCGCTACGCCGTGTTGTGGAGTTTTGCCGACGTGATGGGGTGAAAGCGCTGACGGTGGGCCATGCGATCGACGCGTGGATACATATATTACATATGTTTTCCATAAGGGCATGGCAGCTAGCCATCCAAGCCCGGCCAGATGCATTTTGTTTCCAAAACACGTCCACGTACATACTGATACACACGTGTCGACGGGGAATCCCTTCATCACCTAGGACGTCCACTTCGCTTCTCTTGCCTAGGCCTCTTCCATCTCAACAGCGTTCGTCTACATAAGCGTAAAGCCTCCGACAGACACTCAGAGACTAGGTCCATGGCGGCCAGAGAAACACACATACCTACGTACATACATACGCATAGCATACTCAGGTTAGGCATTACTGGTAAGGCACGGACCATTGCCCCCGGGAGATCCCGGGATCGAGACCTATCACGGTCGAAAATCCTTCCGATGGTGGAAGGTAAAGTGCCCCTAGTCGATGGACGGTGGAGACCTGGGATAAAGTTGGCTCGCGAACCGACCAGGAATGGAGTTGGGCCGCTGTCGATCCGGCAGATTCCGTTGGATGCTGGTAGTGGAGCTGAGTGCTGAACCTGAGCGATCCACTAAGAAATTGACTAGAGTGACTAAATGAAGGTGCCCCGAAATACCGGGGAAGGCAGGGTTTCGCAGGGTAGCGGCCACAGGGTGAACATATGACCGCCCTGTCCCACACATCATACGCATGCACATACATGTACACACATGTATGTATGTATATAGCACACCTTATCAAAAAGAAGCGCACACGAATGTTTGGGCCCGTAAACTTCAGGTCTATGCTTTCAGTACGGAGAACTGGGAACGTGGCCGTGAGGAGGTGGCCTTTCTCATGCGTCTCATGGAACGAACCCTCATCCTGGAGGTTCCGGAGCTGCACGCGCAGGGAGTACGGGTGGTCTTTGCGGGCGACCGGACAGCTCTGCCGGAATCGCTGCGGTGTGCCATGTTGGGGTGAGGGGGCCGGGCAAGTGCTGGGATAAAAGGGTGGACGGCCAGTTGTGCAGTTGTATAGGTTGGGGTTAGGGTGTGGAAGTAGGGATGACTACACGAGTGCGCTTTTGCACTGTGTTATTATTACTGCAATTGAACGGGCGGGAAACGGAGGGGAAGCGGGTGGGGGCAGTGGCAGAGCAGGTACTGAGGAGCATACTGCCAGCTAGCCAGCAACCTAGCCGTCTCAACATGCTTGCATGCACCCATGGACAGCAGGCATGCAGTCTCCACACCGAAACGGTTTTAGGTAGTAACCGGGTGGTGCTGTGAGGTCGGATACGATTGCTGAGATAAATGTTGCTGCCAATTACGGTTGCTTTGCTTATTGCTGATGTATTCGTTGTTCCTTGCTGTAGGGCCGAGGAGCAGACGGCTCACAACACAGATTTACTTCTGTGCATTTGTTTGTCGTACGGTGGTCGGCAAGATATCATCCAAGCTGTGCAGCAATTATGTACGGAGGTGCAACAGGGCAAGTTAAGCCCTGACCAGGTGCGGAAACTGATATGGAATGTCATAATGGGGAATAATGGAAAATATGTGGACTGTGGATTCTACCTACCATGCATGACTTAGGATGTGACAGCTTTAAGCAAGCTTTGATGATATGCATCCTCGTGTGGTACGTTGCAATTGATTCACACCTTCATATTTCCCCGCTTGATAATGTTGTCGAGCGTTTGCCCTGCTCTTGTCTATTCTGCATCCTAGGTGACGGTACAGCACCTGTCGGACCGTCTGTCAACACACATGACTCATTCTCTCGTTGGGGATCCGGACCTGCTTATCCGAACCAGCGGGGAGCAACGGCTATCAAATTTCCTGCTATGGGACTGCGCCTACACAGAGCTGTACTTCACGTCTACCTGCTGGCCCGATTTTGCCGAGCAAGATTGGGAGGATGCATTGCGGCACTTTGCCTCAAAACAAAGACGATACGGGGGTCGCTCCAATAGACTGCAACTGGGGCAAGAAGTCCACCGCAAAGGCCCTGTAAAGCCTTCCGCCTGCTGCTTCCTATGTTGTTGTTCAGCACCTTCTGCTCTGTTCCATTTAACTGCCATTTACATAACTAAGCTGTTCGAAGAGTTAGTACAGCGTGTGCTTGTGGAACGCAAAAAGAAGGGAGATTGTCCTCAAAAAGCCTTACAAGACAACCAAAGAAGCTGTCGCTTAATCGAACGGGGATATCCTCCTCCTTCTCGGACGGCTCCTTCTCCTCCTTGGGAGCTGGAGCGGGAGCCACAGCACCGCTAGCTGTCGGGGTGGCGGCCGCTGGAGCAGGAGCACCACCGCTTGAATTAAGGGGAAAATGCTGGTCAAAATACGTGTTTTATAAGCTTGCTAACATGTTTTTCAGTGCAAAAGACCAGCGCCGACGTTGGTGATGAGGTCCTCCATGCTCTTCTTACTGTCACCATCAGCATCCCCGCCGTCGCCATCCGCATTAGCATCCCCGCCATCACCATTGCTGTCGTCGCCATCCCTGCCGTCACCATCGCCATCCCCGCCTCCACCATTGCCGCCACGACCATCTCCACCGTCGCCATTGCCACCATCACCCCTGCCTCCATACCCATCACCCAAACCATCGTCGCCACTGCCTCCATCACCCAAACCACCGTGTCCATTCCCGCTGTCACCACTGCCATCGCCACCAACCCTGCCGCCGCCAACCCCTCCTCCACTCCTTCCACTGTCGCTATCCCCACCGTCGCCCCTGCCACTGTCGCCAACCCCGCCGTCGCCCGAGCCACCATCGCCCAAGCCACCGTCACCATCCCCGCCATTGCCTGAGATACCGTCACCATCCCCGCCGTCATCACTGCCACCATCGCCATCCCCCCCGTCGCCCCTGCCACCGTCGCACTGTCGCCCGAGCCACTGTCACCATCCCCGCCGTCGCCTGAGCCGCCGTTACCCCTGCCTCCACCCCAATCCCCACCGTCCCCAAAATCACCGTCGCCACTGCCGCCATCACCCCTGCCACCATTGCCATCCCCGCTGTCGCCTATGTCGCCGCCACCTGAGCCACTGTCACCCGAGCCACCATCACCGCCACCCCCTTCATCCATCACCCCCGCCA